ACAGTCTGATGACCTGACCACTCGGTTTCTTACTGATAATGATAATAATGACAATAATAATGATAGAAAATAATGATAGCAACACCAGTAATGATAACGATAACAGTAATAGCTAATAATATTAAACAATAATAACAGTAACAATAATAAGAGGAACAATAACGAATCTAATGATAATTATAATAATGATATATATACATATGTATACATATATATGTATATATATACGTGTACACACACACACACATACACACAAATATATGTGTGTGTGTATTGTATACATTTACATGTACATATATACATACACACACACACACACACACACACACACACATATATATATATATATATATATATATATATATATATATATATATGTATATATATATATATATATATATATGTATATACATATATTTATATATGTGTATTATATATACATATATTTGTATATATGTATTATATATACATGTATATGTATATATATAAACACCCTGTATACACCCAAAGATTTGAAATGCAATCATACTTTGTATAAATACTTAAAGTTTCATTTCAGTATAATTCTGTAATCGACTTACAACGGATTTGTATTGTCATATTAAGTATAATTGACTCGAAAAGTGATTATAATGTGAGTTATATATCTTTTGAGCCAACATTAATCTACCAATAATGTGTTTATACATTAACATTTTTATCATACCATGTAAAGAGAAAAAGCGAAAAATGGATTTTTAAGATTCATATTATGGTCTTTATCATCATTACCATTGTCATCATCATTATCACGTCACCATCATCATCACCTTCTTCATCATTATCATCATAACCATCATCACCATCTTCATCATTATCATCGTTGACATCATCGCCATCATCATCACCATATTCATCAACGTTGACATCATCATCATCATCCCGATCATCATCACCGTTACCCTCATCCCCATCATCATCACCGTCACCATCATTATCGTTGACATCATCATCACTACCATATTCATCCTCGTTGACATCATCGCCATCATCATCACCATATTCATCAACGTTGACATCATCATCATCATCCCGATCATCATCACCGTTACCCTCATCCCCATCATCATCACCGTCACCATCATTATCGTTGACATCATCATCACTACCATATTCATCCTCGTTGACATCATCACCATCATCATCATCTTCACCATCATCACCACCATCACTTTCATCATCATCTTCACCATCATCACCACCATCACTATCATCATCACCATCACTACTCTATACATAAAACAAATATAGAATATAAACTCAGAATTGCATTACATGCAGATGACTGATTAGTCCAAAAAAAGAAAAAAAAGAGAAGAAAAAAAATCACGTTATTTCCCGATGGAATAACAAATAACATATTCAGTTTATATCCTTTCTGCTGCCCAGTTTGGCTTGTATTCATATGTTTACAAAAACATTGGTATTATTTATGCTTTTATGAAAATATTCTAGTCGAATACTCAGTGGAAAAGTGGCCTGCTAGCCTTAATAATGCATTTTGTGAACCTGTTTTATTAAAGCACTATGTAAAAAGGTTGTTTATGTATGTTTTCATAAAGAATAGTTGAATATAACCTTTGAAGTTAAACACAATGTTTCAAATGTTGTAAAAGTTTTATATGATATAGGTATGTATACATATATATATGTATGTAGGTATGCAGGTATATATATATATACATATCTGTATGATATTTAAAATGTATATATATACACATATATATGTATACATACATGTATGTGTATGTATGCATGTATGTATATATCTATATGTAAACACATATATGCGCACACTCGTAAAAATACAGATATATATATATATATATATATATATATATATATATATATATATATATATATATATATATATATATATATATATATATATATATATATATATATATATATATATATATATATATATCTATATATGGATAGATAGATAGATAAATAGATAGATACATACATACGTACATACATATTTATATGTATATATATATATATATATATATATATATATATATATATATATATATATATATATATATATATATTATATATATGTGTGTGTGTGTGTGTGTGTGTGTATACATATATATAACAAGTCACAGGCCTTCTAGGATACAAGAATAATCTGCGACGAGAAAGCTTTTTTCTGGAGGCACCAACGCTGCGAGATGCGTGTGTATGGTAGGACCGACACCACCCCTCCCTATTTCCCTTGTCATATTTTGAAAAAAATATGTTTGTTTTAATAAGAATGAACACTAAAACAGTTTCATATACGTCATTTTTTATATCTAATGCAGTGTTATCGTTTAACAGATTTGAACCAGAGACTGTGCTCGAGAGGAGTGGCAGAATCACCGCAGGGCTGTTTGGGTGGATGCACGCAAGTGGTGGTTGATTTAATGGCAACCGATATGTAGAAATCCTTGAGAAAGTATTCCTCCCATCA